TTTAATCCGAAGAAGAAAACCAGTTGGGCCGTCCGTTATTATTGCGGGCCAAACTCATATGGGCTGCAGACATATATGGTCATTAGACCATTTAGTTTGTTTTAGAATAGGTTTATAATGGTTGGACCATATTAGTCCAAAATTAAAACGGATTGGGCCAAGCCCATGGTCTTTTGTCCAATTGACACCTCTAACGCTCACAGAACTTAAGAATCCAGAACATAACTACTGTAATTTATAGTTTTCTATTAGTGAACTAACAAAGTACGTGTCACAGGCTCCTAGCAATTACACATGAGAGAACAAGACTACACACGATCATTGGTGTCTTGCTCTACAAACAGATTCAACATCTAGAGCAAAAAAGTGAACAAAAGAAGACGCAGTAAAACAGTGAACACAATCATTTGTTTCAAACCAGAAGCAAATGGGAAAAAGATTCGTTTAGATAAATCAAACAAGAATATTCCAAAACAAAGAGCAATGTCTATTGAGTTAAAAGGACGATGTAACAGAGAAATGCAATGATCAAAGTAAAGAGCTGGAGAAGTAAAGGGAAGAAACAGACCCAGATCAAGAGAACTCAAACAAGTATGAAACTCAGACGAATAGAAAAGATGACGAATCAAGAGAATCAAATAAAATCTGTTGACCAATCTAGCTAGAACCAAATAAATTCTAAAACAGAATGCTAAGGACTGTGAACTATTAAACTGAAAGTGATACTTTATTGGTTCCTTAAGACTCGGACTTTATTGACTAACGAAACAGAATAATGACTTATTCAGCTAATGACTCAAAGACCAATTCAAACACCAACAAGAACAGTAGGAAAGATGACGTAAAGAAAACAGTAAGAAGTAAAGGGAAGCAACATACCCAGATCACGAGAACTCAAACAAAACCTTCAAAAACGACCAAGGAAGCGCTTCTTGTTTTAAGAGAAATTAACGTAGTTATCAAGAACAAGGGTTAGAGAAAACTATGTTTATTAACTTTCAAAAACTGAATATTAAAGTAAGAACTACAATCTCTTATATAGAGATCTTTAAGTCGGTTACAATCAACCTCCTTAAAGAATTGGGAAAACTT